AAAAAAAAAAAAAAAAATTAATTCATCCATTCAGACATTGATTTGTCTACTGAGGACCTAATATGGGCCAGGCTCTTCATGGTGGGATAGGAGGGAAGTACTGTACACTTGGACTGTATACGCAGAACAATGTGTAGAGAGGTTTTCTACTCCTGGATCTTATAAAGTAAGTGAAAATCCTAGAAGGATGATAAATTTCCATATAGTTTTTTGTTTATTAAGCAAAATACAACTCATATTCCTGACTTCCTGAACAACCTCTTTCCATACCAGGTCTTGCAAGGTTTGGGATGAGAGAGTCAGAACCGAAACATGCATTTACAACGTATATTTGAGACCACACCTAGAAATCCACAGCACTCCCTTAAACACTAGACTAACAGATCCAGTGTTTAAGGTCTAGTGTAACACTAGTAACACTAGTTTTACAGATGCTATAGAATTCAAAATTTGAGATTAACGCTAGGTAATGCTAACACAAGCCACTGCGGTTACATTTTGTATCATTTCAGCTCTTGAAAACCTTGAGGCAGCTCGATGCTGCCAAACCCTCCAACCTCTTCTTCCCATCAGTCCTCTCTTTGCACTCCAAGCTCCAGGCAATGGAGTATTCCTCAACATAGCATGATGTCTTGTACCTCTGTGCCTTTGCCTGTAGACCATACTTCTTTTGCTTCTTCATTAGCATGAAATTCCTTCAAGCCAATTTCTATTCCTCCATCAAAACTCAGCTCAGTTATAAACTCCTCCAAAAAGCTTTCCCTGACAACTCCTTACCCCACTTCACCCTCAATTTAGGTTATATGCTCCCACAGTACCCTGTACACACTTCTAGCACAGTATATCCTATCACCTCCTAGTTGGTCGCCCTGGTCAAATTATTTAATTTCTCTGAATTTCCACTTACTGACCTGTAAAACCAGGAGAATAAATGCATGTAGAGTACAAAGCAATCCCTAACCTAGAAAGGGCATTTGATACATGGTAGTCACCATTATCGTTATCACTCTGTACTCAAATTGTTTACTTTTCTTCCTTCTCCTAGTCTTTGAGAACACAAATATTTCTTAAATGAACAAAAGCAAGAGTAAATCTGTAAATTAGACAATTTCTAATAAGTAAAGTAGAATGAAAAGACCCCAAAGACTAAACCTGAATATGCAGAATTTTCATACTTTTCTTACTCTACCAATTTTGTTAATAAAAAACAGTTGTAGAAAATGCTACCAGAGGCCTCAAAAACAACACTTAACATAAACACGCTATTCTCTGAAGAGAGCAGATTTACCATGAAAACTAAAAATCCTGACTGACAAAAGAAAAAGGCCTTGAGCCAGTAGTGGATGCATTACCGTGTGCAAGCCGCTGGCTCCGCACGGTGTCAGGACTGTGCTCGTGTTCCGGGAGGGCAGGCTGTCCAACCACGAGATCAAGGTCATCCAGCAGAACAACAGATGGTTGCCTCCACGCTGCCTCTGAGAAAGCTGCCTCTAGGGTTTTTTGTATGTTTTCAAGCCTTCTTCCTTGATACAGAAGATATGAAATGGTCTCAATGTTATTTCAGGGCTGGGGAAGTGCAGGCTACCCTTTTGAAAGCATTAGAAAAGCTCAATATTGATTTAACAATGAAAATTCAATCTATATTTTGTTAATATACCAATCACAAAAACTTGTCAATTATTAACATTGTTCAATACATACCATCTCAAAGGACTCAGTAAAGTGCCAAATTTTATAAAACTAAGAAAAGGAATTTGCTATTTTAATTTCTGTATGTATGTATGCATTTATTTATACACAGTCTCGCTCCATAGAGAATTTCAGATGGGTTATAACACAATAGTAAAATAAAAACTGGATGTGGGAAAACATAAATGAGAGTAAAGGGTCAAGATTTGGGTAAAATCAAACACAAATGTAGCTGCCTAGAGATCCTAGAGTTGTTATATTTGAATCACAAATTTGGCTTCAAACTTTCTGGTGAGTTCAAAGTTAATTTTCAAAGAACAGAAAACATACAAATTCATAAGCCCTCTGTAAAGACCTCCTATTACTTAGGTCTAAATTAAAATTTTCACATGAGGCTTCCAGCAGGACTCTGAGATGGACAGTGTCTCAAAAACCACCTTTATAGCAAATGAAGTGATGGGTTTTCAAAGACTATTTCATTTCTCATCATATACTAGGTAAAAGACTGAAAGTATAATGACTAGTTGGGACTATACGGTAGTGGCAGCCAAGGGGGAAATATTAACTGTTTCGAGTTAATTTAATTGAATAGATAATAATGTAAATGCTAAGGACTTTAAAAACTGTAAATTGTAATTCTCCTCATTGTTCAAAGCCACCTACTTTCCCTCCCCAGAGGCAACCACCCTACCAGTTTCCCATAGCAATTCAGAGATCATTTATACCATTACAGTATATTCTAAATACTAACTTCCTCAGAGTGGTGTAAGTTGGCATTTCCAGGAATATTGTCTACAATGAATTTTGGCTAGGAAAATAAATAGGCCTCCATCAAATATGGGGAGTTTTAGAAATTTTATCAAAACATTAGAAAGCCAAAGACTTAAAATTTCTAAGAAATTTCAACAACTAAATGAACAGAAAAACTAAAGATTAGATGATATTTGTATTTATCAGATTAACAGCATTAATAACAACATTTTTGTCTTTGTACCAAAGAAAGGATTTATGTAGCATGTTACTATACTCATACCTCGTAAAGCTTTACAGTCAACTATCTCCACATGGGCATCTAAGATGTCAGATGCTTCTTTACAGAAAGCTTTGGCTAACGTTGATTTTCCACTTCCCTGAAAAATAATTGTTTCATGAGAGTTCCCAACATATTCAACCACAGAAATAGCTTCTGTCATTGTGGCAACCACAAAGACTCAGACTCCTCAGTTAATAAGTATACCTCAGTCTAGTTGCTGGGTGGAGTATGCAGGCGTTACAGAAATACAGC